GCATCGTTATTTTTTTCTCTCTATTTATCGCGTAATTTGAGATCCATAACATGTACTTCTCTGCTCCTTAAGATTCTTTAGTTTTCTTCTATTTTGCTTCTATCACACAGGAACACAGTACTAAGCACATAGTCTCCATTTCACATGTTTTTATTACTGCTTACTCTAATTCACATTTGTTCGTGCACATTCTCAAATAGTATTGTTCATTTGCAATGGAAATCCAATGAGGGGCGTACCAAAATTTATCGCATCTTATATGATGAAACGCATATTGAAGTCAAAATTATTTGTCAAATGTTAGAAATGTCAACCCCTGGTAAGTGAACACAAGGACTCATCGTCATAAAAAATAATTTTATTTCTGATTTTAGTGACCAAAGTACGTGTGCGTATTGAATGTGTAGTGTCATGTGCATCAATAGAGAGATCTGATTTTACCACAACTTCTATTAGCATCAATAATGAGTCAATAATCCAAGAAAAATTCGATCATTTATGGTCAAATAATACGGAAACAAAAATGTTTACCGTTGAGCAACATGGGTGTGGAAACAATCAAGCTATCAAAGTTTCCAAACCAGGTGAGAGTTTGACAGCATATAACTTTTATGTGCAAGAGTCATGAATCCCAGATCTTTTGATTTTTTGGCCTGTTTTCTGCTGTTCAGCTTAGTGGCTTACAGAGTTTAGCAGTCTTATCTTTGAAGCTTGAATATTTCTTTAAAATAACAATCAAACAAAATGTAGCAAACAGCTCTTTCAAAAGATGTTTCTGGATAACGCGTATTTCGTAAGTAAATGCTTTGTTCTAAGCTGTAAATCATAGATCTCTGATCACCATAGTGCAAGACTTTGCTTGATTGTTATTTTTAAAAGAATATTCCGGTTACAAAACAAGAGATTTTTAACGCTGTCGGTTACGTGAAAGAACAGCTCTGATTTTTACAAAACTAGACAGGTCGGCTGCATGCTTCATATACCATGACTTTTTCGGTCGATTAGTGCTCTCGATTTCATGTGAATGAAAATATAATTCGTTTTGCTATGAAAACGTGGACTACATAAACAAAGAGAAAATAAAAAATTTATTTTGGAAAAAAAATGCATTCTGCTTCTCATCTTTTGGATCTGCCCAGTCAGTCACCTATATGTTTTGAATTCGTTTTAACGCGATTTTAGCATTCATAGAGCGCGAGAATATACAGTTTCACCATAACTACAGCGAATTTCTTGAGCTTTAAATATGTGCTTTAATCAGAACCGCATTTTTGCGATCAATAATTCGCGACGAACGCGTTTATAACCATCATAACTTTTTAAAAACGCGTTTCCAGTCGCAACAGACTTCAAGACTCGCGAACAGCGCCGAACTTTTCGCGTTTAGGACTCAACGAAACGAACGCGTTTTTAACGCGATGCAACGCGACAAACACGAGATTGGCTCAAGAACCGCGAAAAAACTTTTTTCCTCTAAAAGGCACGAAAAAACGCGAGTTTAGCGTTAAAGTATCGCGCGAAACTCTGTTTACGAAAAATTTAGCGCGTATAACGCAACCTATGATTATGTCAAACGCAATTCTCGCACTTTTTTTTCACGGTAAAGCTTTCGTAAACAGAGTTTCGAGAGGCTTTGGGTTTTTTCTATATAAATTTTGACTATACCATGAATGCAACGCGACAAATGCAAGATTGGCTCAAGGACTACGAAAAAACTTTTTTTCTATAAAAAGCGCGAGTTTAGCTTTAACGTATCGCGCGAAACTGTGTTTACAAAAAATTTAACGCGTTTAATGCAACCTGTGATAATGTCAAACGCAATTCTTGCGCTTTTTTTTTATAAGAATTTCTCGCTCTAAATTTTTTGTAAACAGAGTTTCGCGCGATATTTTGAAGCTAAAACTGCGTGAAAACGAATTTTCAAAACATATAGATGACTGACTGTGTGGTATTCCTGGGTATAGTGCGTGTAAAATTTTATCTATTGTTTACTATTTGAGAGCATAATCACAGCTTGGAAAAGCGTATAAAAACATGGAAAGATGGATACTACATTATCGAAATATATCGACCATCAAATCAAAATGCTACTATGGACATAGTTGTATCAATGAAATCGAAACGAGGATATTTGACGGGTGAGTTCAAGAACCTAATGTTGTTCTTGATGCATTTTCTACTATTCTCTAGCTAACGAATATCCATCGTTCACGTATTATAAAATGGCCTTTTGTATCGACGTTGTATTTGCTCTTTCATGGTGCTTACTGTGCTGTATATTCAGGTAAGTTCGTCGAGCAGATCAACAATAACTGGGTCTGAGCTTTTCAAACATGAGTTTTAACGGAGACGGTTTGAAAATATAAGGACTTTAAATTTCGAAAAATCTTCGGCTGAAAAAAATATCAAAAATTTCTTTCCATTTCCTTTTGAAACTTTCACACTTATTTTTTTCGATTCAGCGTATGAAACTACCTCTAGAAATGTGGTTTAGAACTCCATCCTGTAGAATATCGTCAGTTTAAAAATTAAGAGCCAAGGCTACCTTAACCCTTTACCCCCACAGCCAATAAAAATCAGCACTGGATTCCCAATAATAGAGTTTTCTAGTAAACCAAAACCCTAGTTTTTCGGCATCTAGAACTTGCGAATAAAATTTTTTCAAACTACGTAGAATGATAGAGCAAACAATTCTCTACAAACTGAGATGTTCCGAACTCTCTGCGACGTTTTTTGGTCGAACTATATAAAATTTACGAAAGCCCAAAATAGGACTTTTTCAAGTCATTCCGTCCCAATGGTCACTGGAGTGACCATTCTGTATCATATCATCTCTTATCTACCTGGCTTTTCTGAAACTTTCAAAAGGCATTCTTAATTTTTTGCCATCGATCTACAAATAGTCAGTCCAGTGACCAAGGGGGTTAAAGGGCGACAACAGATTTTGTGAACCTATTTTCTTTTTTTTTGGTAGGGAATGGAACCTTGATCTACACCACATTCGATGTTCACGTACAACGAAATAATATAGCCCTTTTATTGAAATTCATTTTCATTGTCGAGAAAATTCATTTTCCTAAATCTAAGGCGAAAAAGTCGGAATTCTCTCAATCAGAACTCAAATTCTATGTAAGACAAATATCATATTCAGAATTAGGATCAAAAGCTGAATCGACTACCGCGTATTTTGAAATTTTCAGTTTATTTTCATTTTTGGTAAAATTCTCTTTTTTCAACATGAAAATTCGAAAAAAATCAAAGTACTAGGATAGGACAGAGGTACACGTGGACTTAGTTTTTGATCCTGATTCCTAATATGATAGTTTTATTGCATAAAAGTTGGGTTCTGATTTAGGGAATTGAGAATTCCAGGCAGACTTCTGACTTTTTCTCCTCAGATTTAAAAAAGTGAATTTTTATCGTTGTGTATCCATCTATAATTCCATACAGCACCTATTTTTGCGTTATATGGCAGCGCACACACATTAGCCTAAGTGTCCCCCTATGCTTGGGAAAACATTTTGGCTTTGTTAATGACCAATTTGTTGATTCTGTTGTCCTCAGCATGTAAAAGTTATAAGGTTGATTCATAATTAATTACGTATTAAATTTCAGATAAAACCGGCCACTCTTGTTCGTTGTTTTGAGGTTCCAAGGACACTTTTTAAGGTCAACCGATAGAGCATTGCAGTCTCTACAAAACCTGTAATTTTGATCTCTGACAGCGTTTTTCTCGTTTGAGCATCATTCAATATTTCGAATGGTGCTAAGTTGTCGAACTGCGACACACTGAAAATAGAAAAATATTTGCCTTGATCCAAAAATAGATTCCTTAAGAATTTAGAAAACATCAGAAGATTCACAAGAAAATTCTGCATGTTTGTATTTTTCGAAATTTTTGCAGCTCACTTTCCTAGGAATATTTCTCTGTGGAAAAACCTGATAAATCTAAAACAGCCTAACTTCTGAACCTATTCTCACAGACTTTAGTTTTTTAGCTAGAAAAACAGTAAAACGTTTTGAATCCAGGGTTTTAGCCCACCTTACACCACCTTACACAGAATTAAATTCTGCATTTTTTGATATATAAAGAAAGTTTCTTAGTTCAAATTATTAATTTAAACAATTAACTTAATTTGCAAAAATAGAAAGGCCAGTTGAGAACTAATTTTGACTTCAACTGACGTAGCAAAAACATTGTATGAAGTTATGTATCAATGAGATCGATAGAGCACAAAATTTTCCATCTTTCTACCTAGAAAAATTAACTATTGAATCTCAAACAATGGGATAAAAATCTCAAAGAAGAAGACGTCAAAAGGACGTCACAGTTCGACAACTCAGCACTATTCGAAATATTGAATGGTGCTCAAACGGGAAAAGCGCTGTCAGAGATTAAAATTACAGGTTTTGTAGAGACTTCAATGCTCTATCGATTGACCTTAAAAAGAACCCCTGGAACTACTGGACGGTACCTCAAAAACAACGAACAAAAGTGGCCGGTTTTATCCGAAATTTAATCCGCAATTAATTACGAATCAACCTGATAATTCAGTACGAGACTAAATTGAGAGAATTCTTCTCTGCAATGACATAATTTTCTACACGGTCGACTAGACATCCAAAAAAACAGACCTGTGTCCTCTGTTGTTGAACTCTAGTATCTGGTAATTATACAATTCTAATATATTCTCCTATTTTCTGTGCTTTGCTGTAATAGGCGTGCTTTATTATCGATTCATTATTGGATCGGTTGTGCTATTCTTAGTAAAATTGTCGAAACGCTTGCTGTACTCATCGAATACCAAATGGCAAATCGTTTTGGTTATCACATAAACTTTATCTTATTAACATCTGAACTTCTTTCGTGCTTAAACATGACTGTACTTCTGATGTTATTAGTCACTGTTGCAAATGGATTTAGTCTGATTCATCCTCACATGGATCGAACATTCAAGAAAAAAGTCATTTTGATGGGTGTTCTCTATTTCCTCGTCGCCATGATCGCGTCAATTATACGCCACCATTCGGATTGGGCGTTAATACCAATGATCGCATGGGGAATATGTGAACTGTCGATTGATGTTTGGATTATACTTAGTTTGAGACGAACAACACTATGGTTGATTGAAACAAAAAATGATGAAAAATTAAGATTATTTCGATGCTTTTCATGGTCGATTATATGCATCATTATTGCCATGTGTTTGTCCATGATATGGATGATGATATTACATCTTCACATTTCTTGTACCATAAAGTACAGGTTCTTTTGGGTGAGTAGTCAAGAGCGAATCTATTTAATCAAAGATTTATTTTAATTTTATTTTAGATGGATGATGCGTTTGGTGAAATATTAAACTCAACATTATTAATTGTGTTGATGATCATATTTCGTCCGAAGCAAGGCGAACTAAATTTAAAGTCAACTGTTTATTTTGTTCATGAAATTTTTGACGATGATACGGCGGAGTTAGTTGAACCGACTGCAACTGAATAAATAGATCAGAGTAATTCTTTTGGTAATGTCCCACATTTACATGAAGATCTGCCGCAAAAATCGAGACATATCTCATTTGAAAGAACATTTAATTCAGAGTAAGGTGTCATTTAAAAATTTTGAAACATCGGCATGGGGTTCTGGGGCGGTCCGACATAGGTTCCAAGACGCAATTCATACTTAATTATCTCAGAAATGGCAAAAGCGACAAAGCTGAATGCTTTAGGATATAGACTAGAGACAACAAGGATAAAGTGCTTCATTTAAAACATTTAAAAATGCTTAATTGCTCTACTGCACTAGTTCTAAAATGGTGAAAATTCGTCGTACTGAAATGCGTTTTGCACCATCAAATTGAACTCTAAATTCAAAAGTAATATGTGTATCAAATTTCTGTCTGGACATGTAGTTTTTACTTGTCTACATAGCTCCTGTAAGCCTGCTGAGAGCCACCTTTCACAAGCATTACGGCCCAGAGACCGAAACGGGTCGGGTTGGGTCAACTCACGCTCGGGTTGGGTTCGGGTCGCGTTTGAAAGAGTATGTTTTGGGTGAGAGTGATGTGATTCTGGGATTAAATATTTTCAGGTTATGCTGTTTCCTCCCTCTACTTTGCGATAGGTTACAGAGGCCGAAACGGGTTGAGTCCGGTCAGGTCGGGTTTCGGGCTAACGTAAAAGATATTGATTCGGATCGCGTTTGGTTGACCAGTTTCGATCTAACTTAAGTCAATATAAAATAAGCTGCCTGAATTACCCAAACTTTGCCACCCATAAAAGGACGAGACACCCGTTTCTATTTGGACAGCGACTTGTTGAATTATTTCATCGTATTCATTTGTATTTTAATTTTATTTAATACATTACACATAATTAACCTCATTTTCTGGCATGTTGTAAATAAAGTTTGGTTTATTGCGTTATGTATGGAAGAGAGAATTTGCGTTTGAGTTTGCATTTGTTGTTGCATTATTAGCCATCCCTGATTTATTCCGTTTAAATGCGATTTGTTCAATCTTTTGTTGTTCTTATCTTGCCAGTGGGCAGAAAAATATTTTCGAAAAAATCCACTTTTTTCATCTTCAACATTTTTCATCTGGTGTTGGATCTAATGGTCCATCTAAAATAAACCGGCCTATTTTTCCACAAAAATTGAGAACAGTGCTAGATATGTGCACGAACAACTGCATGCCGGTATTTGATGAGTG